GCTTGCTAACAATCTGGGTCTGAAAATGAGGTAAACGGGGGAATTCTGTGTTCTTTTTAAAATCATTAACTTCTGTGACAATAGCAAGGTTTGATTTCCAGCACACTACCCCCAATGAGGTATAACATCACCTTGATGTAACATGCCATCATGCTATGCCTATTTTGTTGCTACTTTCTGATGGTGAGTGTCAAATTGATCTGGTCTTGGTTGATAGAAAGTGTGGATGAATTTTGACTTAATATAATGTGCGTACACGTGGATACAGAAGTATGTATGCAAACAAACATGCACACGCATATATACGGATGCACAGGTCATGATGCATCAACCGGAGTTCACACACAGTCACTTCATGTCTCTAAAATCAGTCAAGGGATATAAATTCCACTAACCCTTGTGATTGAGGTTGTTCTTACGATTGTACGCCGTTGCTTTTTTGGCTTACCCATATCGTATTCATCATCATCCATATCCTGAAAAATGCAAACATAAAATCACCGTCCTGAGTTTTGCAAGATGCAGTGCATCAAATATTTTTCTTACCAAGTGTAATCTCACTTTTCCCTTTCAACATCACGACTAGACTGACACCATCGCAGCTTGGAATGTAAGATGGAACGTTCAGGCAGTTTGTACATATTGCTGGCATACATTTTGAAATGTGCTGTGAAACCACAGTCTGATGCTTATAGATATTTTCAATCAACCTGTTCAGAGATGTCATGACACACCTCTGGAGCAGGTTGGACTGGAACCCGTGCCTTTTGGCCCAGAGGTAGGAAGACTATCACTGCACCACAACACCACTTTCCTGATGCTTATGTTCTTAACATGTGACCACATTTGAGTTTGATTACACTTAGCTAAATTTCTTGATTAATTTTGAGTTTACTATAGGACTATAAGGAATAGAAATAATTTGATATTTTCTTTAAAGGGCAATCACAAAGGTGATGGGCTTTACATTTCAATAGTGATATTTGAGGTTGGAGATGCCAATACTGGGAATGGAACAATTTTGATTTTAGTATCGCACTAGACATTTTCCAGGATGTAGTGTAATAATGGCTTCTCTGATCAGCACCAAACTTAAATGGCAATGCTTGTCACACTTGCAGCCAGCTTTTGTCTTGTACGTTTACTTCACACACAGCTTCCAATTTAATCAATGTGCTTTCAATATGTTAAGCATTAGTAGGATTACAGTACACATAAATTATACCTCACAATCTGTGTAATATTGCCTACCTAGTGGGAACCTGTGCCATGTCATGATCTGCTTGCAGTAACTTTATGCACAACTCTTAAAAACCCAGCCAAGAGATGGCCTTCAGCTTAACAGTCTGCGGTATATGTGAACTTGGGGTCCTAGGGTTGAAAGATATGCATGCAAGCCCACATCCCAAGATCATCGTCAGGTCAGTTTAAAAAAGCATGCTATCCCCAAACGTTGCACAACTTTTTAAAAAAAATTACAACTAACCAATCAGAAACCAAGCTGTAAACGTTACTCATAAGTGCCCTGTCCATGAAAGTCAGTTACTGTGAAGCACAACCCAAGTCAGCTCTTGTTACTTCCCACACCTGCTATTCCATTGCCGTATTGTTGCCCTGCTCTACACTGTTCCTGCAAAGCCCTTAATGAATAAATCTTGCTCAGCTCATTCTAGCATGCCTTTAAAAAGCACCTATCCTGCCACACTCCTAATCCAGTACCTACCATTTTGACCCAAGTAGAAAGATTTGTGAACATTTCCAGTGTTACGTACTTGTCCTTGGACTGCATCGTCACTTGCTTCCTGCTCAGATGAAAAACTTTCATACTCCTCCTCTGAGTAATTATCTATGAAATAACAAAGATGCCTTAAACTAAGTTTGTGGCTCACACATATATAACAGAACTGACAATGAGAAATACAGGACAGTCTAATAAATTAAGCTCTTCATGGGCTATCTGGTTTAAGCCAAATCATAGAATCCCTACCATGGAAGCAGGCCGTTCAGCCCATCGAGTCCACACCGACTCTCCGAAGAGCATCCCACACAGACCCACTCCCTTACCCTATCCCTGTAATTCCGATGGCCAAACCAACGAACCTGAACATCTTTGGACTATGGAAAACCAGAGCACCCAGAGGAAACCCACACAGACATGGGGAAAATGTACAAACTCCATACAGACATTCACCTGAGTATGGAATTGAACCCAGGTCGCTAGCACTGTGAGACAGCACTGCTAACCACTGGGCCACTGTGCTCCCTACATAGATAGTCGGGGGAACGAGGGCAATCACACTGAGCTGGGCAACAGGGAAGGCGTACTGGAGGAGAAAGGGAAGGTTAACTCTGTGAAGAGGTTGAAATGAATTAGGAGATAATTGGTGATTATGATTCAGAACTGTTTCAGTACTGTGGTTATTGGAGAGTTGGGAGACGGGGTGGTGGGGGGAGTCAAATTGGAAAAATCCAAATATCGTGTTCCACCAAAGATGGATTCAGATTTGGGAGGTCGCAGCAAGCTGAAGGACTTTTGACAGGAAATGGCTGTTGGAAATTAGTTGGTAGACTGCAAGGAAAGTACAGTGTCTATGTTTTAGGATGGTTTTATATAGAAGGGCACAGTACCTGTGAGGCAATCATTTACAGAGCCAGCTAGCATGATGGCCAAGAATGGATGTTGGGTGGTTAATAGCTTACTGTCACTAAATTTAAGGTGGGTAAAATGAACAACATGAGCTCAACGATATGCACTGGAGCAAAATTGGTGAGGAATAATAAAATGACACAACAGCAGTGAGCCAGAGGGAACTTTGGGAAAGGTTTCCATGGTAAGGGAAAGTAGAAGTGCACCAAATGCACAAGAGCAGTTGATTTTAATTTTAGTGACAAAGAGGTTCGTCAATTTCAAGTGCTTACTGAAGGTCAGAGAGCTATGGGAAAGCTTTATGCCCATAATACTGCATTGAGCTTTAGATTGTTCAACAGTGACAGATTAAATAATTTGACCACCTCTGCACATTAAAATAAAAATTTTCCCACTCTGTGCTACTGAAGAGAAGATGCAGATGTGAGAAACTGAACGAAAATGAAATGTCCAATAGCACAATCGCAGACACTGCTAATCACAATTCGGGGTCCATCTGGAGGGTATTTTGAGCTGGATGGTATTGGAGTGCGTCACTGACAGTGGTAATAATGGCATAATGTAAAATAATGGGATTTAAGGGAGTCTTCGAGAGAATCCGATTGTACAGCAATTATCACAGTTATCACAAGAATTTCCTTTATGGAGCAGTCGTGGCAAAACACTAAATAAATCTAGTGTACCTTTGTAAACTAAGACAGCATCTATTATTAGTATATTTGAATGTAATTCAATTAACATTAGTACTAATTGCTATGGTGACATCATCAAAAAAATCATGTTCTAAAATCAGGACTCAACCCCACCTGTTGATTTTATTTTCTGACTAGGCTGCATTGAACTGTCCTCATGATCAATTGGCTGGCTGGACAGCGCAAAGATCCAGATTTCAGCCACTTTTACTGCAGCTTGCTTGAGGTTACTGAGCAGCGTGAGGATCTGGCCACCTTCCGTTGGATGCTGCATTACCTGCATTACATGAAGAGAACAAGAGTTAGCATCGTTAACCCTTATAAATAAAATAGTTGTTTCTGCTGGTTTATTCATATTTGATCAGGTATAAAAAATTTCCGGCATTCTAGGGAGAAAACTCTCCTGATTTTTCTTCTAATTATTTTTCACAGTTCTAATGGTTTCTGCCTTGGTGATACTATTATCATTCTGCTGAGTTGGTCGACATATCGGGACCATTTTAACCTTGTGCAGGAACTAGAAAGGTAACATGAGCAATAGTGAATTGGCAGCCATTTTACATCTACACTTTTTTTGCTTTGACTGATGCTGGTCAATGGAAACAATAATTAGTAGAGATCTAAAATGGGCTGCCAACTCACTACTAATCATTTTATTTTACTGCATCAAGTAAAAATGACCTTGGGATCAAGGATCAGAATGATACCAAAAGGCTGCCTCAGTTTGATTCCTTCTCCCTCTGTCTCACCTCCGCCATATTGATCGACCCAACTGCCAGAGTTTTGTATCCCAGAATGGTCCTGTTCTTGTACCGTTTTCGTCTCTGAAGCATGATTTGTAGCTTGTTGCCTTCTCTTTTGAGAAAGTGAGGGTACTGTTGAAAAGAAAAGCCATAAATTGTAGAGGAGCATCAAAGCGAATGGGTTCTCCAACCAGAAATTCCCACGAAAGCCCCATTGTGCTGGAGCCCGCAAAAAGCAAACAAAATAGTTGATAACTCAATTGAATTCCAATGGCTCTCCTCATGAACCTTTTCCCTTGTTTCTTTCCCTTTGCAGATTAAAAGCTGGTGAAACAGACTTCCCATGAAATTGGCAGGGGTGACACTGTCTGAGAAAGAATTCAGTGGGGAGAGGGTGCACATGATGCACAGGAAAAGGGATCAAAAAATGAAATGTCACTGTTCATTCCCATGAGAACTAGTGCGTGTTAAAACAGGATTACAGTATCTACAAATCTGATGATAGATTATCCTCAGATCCTCAGCAAAGTACAAGGCACCCTATCAGAGATTTTCCAGTAATTTCTGTTCTTGTTCCTTGCCTCCACCATTGTGCCCAGAAGTCTGATTTGAATTTGGATTAAGATGAGAAAAAGAAATGTATATCCGTTCCAAATTTACTTCCGCTTGGTTTGGGGTCATGCATTTTTCTGACTGTTCTTCTTTCAATGGAACACTTGGTTTACATTATCTGCAGCATTAAATAATTTGCATACATTGGCTCCATCTACTTACCCCTTTAAATCTGAAGAACCCATGATCTTAAGTTGTTCATAGCCCTATGTTGAATTACATCCCAAGTACACTTTAGAATAACAATGACCAGAAAAATATGAATAAGTGTGGGAGAGGAATGGAAGAAAGAAATGTTTTTATCAAAAATGAAAGAATGCAATGCTGCCTGATTTTAATTGAATTGTTTAATCGTGCCTGTCCAAATACCTTAGGTTGACTGAGGTAATGAAGTCTTTTCATAGCTCAACATTTACGTTTTTTTAAAAAACTGCCTAATTTATTTAAGATAAAGTGGTGAGGAAGTTCACCTTAGCCCATCCATCCAGAAACACATCAATTACAACTAAAGATGTCTCTTAAATGGGGCCTGATCCTTGTCTCCACCAAATAAACCAACCAAGGAATGGCAGACGCTGGAAATCAGAAACAAAAACAGAAACGGCTGGAACAACTCAGCTGGTCTGGCAACATTTGTAGAGAGAAAGCAGAGTTAACACTTTGGATCCAGTGACCCTTCTTCAGAACAGTCTGCTGAGATTTTCCAGTAATTTCTGTTCTTGTTCCTTGCCTCCACCATTGTGCCCAGAAGTCTGATTTGAATTTGGATTAAGATGAGAAAAAGAAATGTATATCCGTTCCAAATTTACTTCCGCTTGGTTTGGGGTCATGCATTTTTCTGACTGTTCTTCTTTCAATGGAACACTTGGTTTACATTATCTGCAGCATTAAATAATTTGCATACATTGGCTCCATCTACTTACCCCTTTAAATCTGAAGAACCCATGATCTTAAGTTGTTCATAGCCCTATGTTGAAACTATCACATCATTTACATTCCTTTGCTTGCTAATGGGAGGCATCCAACCTTCCCCAAGAGATGTGCCCACAAAATGACAAGACTAGGAATTATCGATGTGAGGTTTACAAGGCTCAGATTCTACTCAACCGTAGAGGACTCTGGCATACCACCAACAGCAATGACCATTGTTTAAAGAAAAAAAGAACAAATACTTCTTTTCCTAGAGAACTATGAAGCTCGAGATTACACTGTTGTCTGGTGCAATGAAACACGGACTTCCCACATGTCTGGAAGGAGAAGCAAGGGACAGAAATTGTATATGAAGGTTATTATATGCATATTTCATTTGAATCTCTAAATTGACCTGAGATGACAGCCAGAGAGAATACTTTTCCCAAATGATCCTGGGGTTTTATTCCTCTTTATTTATCTCTCCCAGAACTTTACATGTCTACAGATAGGGTAAGAACATGTACCCAGTCAGCATGACTATGGAGTAAGTTTGATAACACTAAGTGATCATTTTCAGACCAACAATTTTCTTTCTTTAGGAAGTAAAGTATGAAAGGACAAGGGTATAGTCTATTATGACAGACCTATCGTAATTGCTAATTCATGATTATGGGAGTATAAGACAGAACAATTAAACAGTTACAGAGAACTTTCAAAGAATTGAAGCTTGACTAATTAAATCAAGAGAAGTCGTTACAGGCACACAATGGAAATCAATTTCATTATATACACCTATTAATTAGAAATTATTTTGCCTACTGGAAAGCAGAAGGCAGTAAAGGAAGTGCTAATATTATTTTTTAAAAATCACAGAAAGGCTAATTACAATTCGTGTTTTATGAATGTACAAGCAAAGAGATCAAAATTATTTTTTAAACAGCAATGATTGGGTCAGTGTGCTGGGATGAATTTTGATTGTATTCAATTGTTGGAAGCCAACATATTTTTAACACTTACATTTCTTTCTTGTGTCAGAAATTTGCAATGTACTAACTTTTTGAGCAGTAGAATCAGACTATAAAACAAAAACAAAGTTGCTGGAAAAGCTCAGCAGGTCTGGCAGCATCTGTGAAGGAATAAACAGAATTAACGTTTCAGGTCCGGTGACCCTTCCTCAGAACTGGTGGTGGCTGGGAAAACGTCAGTTTATATGCAGAAAATAGGGAGGTGGGTGGGGTAGGGAGTATACGATAGGATAGAGCCCAAAGAGAGAGAAAGACAGTTGGACAGACAAAGTGTTGATAACGATCAGGCTGGGAGGGTGAATAGTTGTTAATGGGGACTGTTAGTGACTAACAACAGAGGGTGTGTAATGGCAGGCTATGTGGTAACAAGGCCTGCAAGACCTGCTGAGCTTTTCCAGCAACTTTGTTTTTGTTTGTTACCACATAGCCTGCCATTACATTCCTTTCCTTCCATCTCTTCCTGGATCACTCCACTGTCAAATATCAAGCACCATCTCCAGAGCCTTCACTAACTTCATCTCCCCAGGAGACTGTTCACTCCAAGGCCTCCAAGCTCACTGTGCTCCAACTGTATAAATGCTACTTATACTGTCTTTCCAAGATCCAAAAACAGGAAAGACCTGGTAGATGTAATACTCCTGTGTGTTGCTGCCCCACCGAATTGACTTCTTCTTAATTTGGCTCAATTTCTTCTTCCCTTGTCCAGGCTTTTCCCAATTACATCCATTACTCTTCCAATACCCTATATCACTTCAACAGTTTCCTACTTCTTGGTCCTAAGCAGCCCCTATTCACCACAGGGGCTCACTCTCTCTACCCCTACAGTCCCATACGATAGTCTGATGGCTCTGCTGTTTGCTTCTTCCTTGAATGAAAATTCAGTCCATCTGTCGATCCACCAACATTGTCTCTGCTGGTTGAATTCTTCTCATGTTAAACATCTCCTTTAACTTGAAGCACTTCCTACAAGTGAAAGTGGTTGCTGAGAGGTACACATCAGGGATCCTTGTCTGCATTTTTGTGGTATGTGTAGAACATTTAGGTTACAGTTGTACTTAGGTTATGCCCCTCACCTATCTTAAAGTCAATTTATAATTGTATCAGTGTGCATATTCATGCCCTGTAGTGGAAATTTTCAACAACTTTACTTCCAATTTTCATCCTTTTCCCACTGTGACTGGTCCACCTCAAAATCATGCTTTCCTTTCCTCAGCGTTTCTCTCTCCATTTGTAAGGGATTGGTCATCAACCGATGTTGACTTTGAGTCCACTGAATCCCACAGCCACCACAACTACACTTGCTCACATCCCACTTTCTGTTCGGACTCAATTTCAGTCGTCCAGTTTATTCTTCACTGTTGTGTCTGCAAACTTCCATAGAAGTATTACTGATGTCTTACTTTTAACTCAACTCAGGCCTTCAACACACTGCCCAACAGGATTCATTCTCCACACCTCTGCTCTCACTCCTTCCCCTTGCTCCAAAAATGATGATCAGATTCTACCCGTCATCACAATTCACCAACCAGCCTGCAAATTCACTGGATAACAAGGTGCAGAGCTGGATGAACACAGCAGGCTAAGCAGCATCATAGGAGCAGAAAGGCTGACGTTTCGGGCCGAGACCCTTCATCAGAAATGGGGGAGGGGAAGGGGGTTCTGAAATAAATAGGGAGAGAGGGGGAGGCAGATAGAAGATGGATAGAGGAGAGGAAACAAACAGGTCGAAGAGGCGGGGATGGAGCCAGTAAAGGTGAGTGTAGGTGGGGAGTTAGGGAGGGGATAGGTCAGTCCAGGAAGGACGGACAGGTCAAGGGGGCGGGATAAGGTTAGTAGGAAGGAGATGGGGGTGCGGCTTGAGGTGAGAGGAGGGGATAGGTGGGAGGAAGAACAGGTTAGGGAGGCGGGGACAAGCTGGACTGGTTTTGGGATGCGGTAGGGGGAGGGGAGATTTTGAAGCTTGTGAAATCCACATTATAGGCCCGTCTAGGCCCGAAACGTCAGCCTTTCTGCTCCTATGATGCTGCTTAGCCTGCTGTGTTTATCCAGCTCTGCACCTTGTTATTACGGATTCTCCAGCATCTGCAGTTCCTACTATCTCTGCAAATTCACTGGATTATCCAACACCATTTCTACTATTAATGCTGACACCAAACTCAAGTCCTCCCTTTCAACATTTGAAGATACAATTTCCAATGCAAGATCTTGATCTACTCTTCAATTACCCCACATCCTCCTCCCAATCCTATCCTTCCAATGTAAGCACAGAACATGTAACACCTGCCATTTTACTTTCTCCCCCCTATAGCTAAGACCCCAAACAGTCCTTCCAGGTTAAACACAAATATGGGTCAGTTTTTGTCCAATGTGTGCAGGAGGGTTTCCTGACACAGAATGTAGATAGGCCAACAAGAGGCGAGGCCACATTGGATTTGGTACTGGGTAATGAACCAGGCCAGGTGTTAGATTTGGAGGTAGGTGAGCACTTTGGTGATAGTGACCACAATTCGGTTACGTTTACTTTAGTGATGGAAAGGGATAGGTATATACCACAGGGCAAGAGTTATAGCTGGGGGGAAAGGCAAT